TGGGGGGATAAATAAATTTGATTGAAACCAGTCTGAAGTTCCTCTGATCCCTTCATGTTGTTCTAGTCTCTGTGATCTTATGATCTATGGTGTCAAACGCTGCACTCAGATCCAACAGGACCAGGACAGAGACAAGTCCATCATCTGAGGCCATGAAAAGGTCATGAGTGACTTTTAACAGCTGTCTCTGAGCTGTGATGGATTCTACATCCTGACTGAAAGTTTTCCAACAAACCGTTTCTGTCGTCACACAGCTGGTTAGCAACAGCTTCCTCTAGGATTTCAGAAATGAAGGTTTGATGTGGGTCTGTAATGAGCTCAGACCTCTGGATCTTTTTATCAGAGGTTTAATTACAGCTACTTTAAAAGCTTGAGGTACGTAGCTGGTTCACAAAGACATGTTCATCTGACACGTGTTTGAGAATTAAACCATAGAGCGGATCTCCTCTGACTTACTTTCTTCTTTCTTAGCAGGCGTCAGCGTCAAGGGTTGTTTTTAATGAGGCTGCTGAACTATTAACAAAGTTATCAACTCGTTAAAATTCACAGTAAGGCGCAGGTGACGATATATGATAACTAGATGAACTGGTTTATGTGATTTCAGCCTTGGACAAGGTTTAAGTATCTTTCGGTCGACAGTTGATTGTGATGTTCATTGTGATGAACAAAAAAAACAAACATTTGATTTACTTCTGAATGAGAAAAAGGAATGTTGAAAATGTCATTTTAAACTTTAAAGCTTTGGAAAAAGCTCATGTTTTATTTCAGATAAATGTTCCCAAGGTGAAGAATGAAGCTCCATGCTCTAAAAATAAACACGACCTGAAGCTCAGTCTGTTTTCAACAAAGAGAAAAGTTAAGAATCAATTCATGTTGTGTTTCTTCCAGAGTCAAAGACAAAAAAACACATTTTCCAAAACATCAGAAACAAAAGCTCCAGAAAACACATGAAACATTTTGAGATAAAAATCGTGCGTCAGTCACGAGAGCTGAAGAGAAAACGTTTCCTCCGTCACATGGAACGATAAAAAAACAGCCACCAAATGTACAAAAAAATGACCATTTATTTGAATTTGTTATTATTCATTAATGACATTTTCTCTAAAGGACAAACAAATTATCTGGAGACGTTTTCTCATGATAGAACTCGATGTTATGTACAGGATCTCATATATGAATTAAAGATGCAGATATAAAGTTATAATTATGAATCTGATCTCATTATCACATCGTTCTGCTCCAGTTTTCTCATAATTGTAATTGAATGAAGCATCTTGGATTCTAAACGATCTCAGAGCTACAGCTCATGTTGTATAATCTTCATTAGTGACTCAAGTTATTTAAAGTGTTTCATGATTCACATTGAAAGATAACTGTAGAGTGAATGATTTCATATGTGATGAGGATTTATCAAATAGAAAAAGGTTCTAAGTGTAAATTGTATCTTTCCATGTTGTTTTACATACATGTTACATGTGAAGCGTTTATATACAGCGTGTGTGTTTTTATAATTCTGAGACTTTAGTTTGGTTTCATTTATCAAAGTTACCATGTTTGGTTTCAGGTTCAGTTTTTCAGTGAAAGACGTCAGTGTATAAACATGAACATCTGTGTTTGTGAACATCTGTTTTCTAGACTCAGTAATATGTTATTGTACAGATGTGTGTGTCAGTGTGTGTGTGTGTGTGTGTGTGTGTGTGTGTTGTCAGTTGCTCTCGGTGAAGTCTCGGCAGATTCCTCTGACGATCAGCGGGATGAACTCTGTCAGTCCGGTGAACTCTCTGGTGAAGAAGGTGTGTCCGTCTTTGGGCTGCGATGACATCGCTCTGAGGTCATCCACGGGGGCCCAGGCCACGCCCACAGAGTAAATGGTGATGCCTGGTGATTAGAAGATGGATGAGATGTGATGTAAACAATGACTCGCACTCACACACACACACACACACACACACACACACACACACACCTTGTTTCTGTGCCTCCAGCGCCGGGACTGTCACGTCATCATACGATTGACCGTCTGTCACCACGATGAGGAAGTTGCGGCCTGGTCCTGTTCGTCTGGTGGAGAAACAGAAGATGTGGAACCAGTGGTTGATGAAACGATCTGTAACCTTCAGTGATCAGTTACTGATTTGAAGAATCAACACTTTCTGTTTCACTTTGATTCTTCTGAGGAAATCTGACGTCCACTCTTTTCTCTTCTGAGTTTCACAGATTCCTCAGGTCTCGGTGTCTCTGATGATTCTACTCATTATTATTCAGTTTATTTCTGCTGTTACAGTCAGTTAATGAACTTTTAACGTTCTTAAAACATTCACTATGAACACCAAGTGTAAAAGAAACATTTCTGTTTATTTTATTTGTTTATTTCTCCCCCTGACCTCCTCTGACCTCCTCTGACCCCCCCTGACCTCCTCTGACCCCCCCTGACCTCCCCCTGACCTCCTCCTGACCTCCTCTGACCTCCTCTGACCCC